ATATATCAATTTTCAACTGGTCTAACTTTATTTTTATGAGATAATTAATAATTTTAATAGCCATAATGTATAAACATATGAACATACAACAAACTGATATAGAACATACAACAAACATATGACAGACTCCCACTAAACTGAAGTTTCTTCAAATTATGATATACTCATATGAGCAGTATGCTCATGAAAGACCTAGGGTGGTATACCTTTTGTGAGAGGATCTGCTAACTTAAAGTTTGTTCCTAAGTGTTCTATAAAAATTTGTCTACTTTGTACCATTTCTTTCACAACTAGAAACTTGATGTTAATATGCTTTGACTTAGTTGAGCTCCTATTGTTGTTGGAGTATAAAACAGCTAATTTATTATCACAATATATCTTTAGTGGTCTTTTAATCCCTTGTACTATTTGTAACCCTGTGATAAAATTCCTCAGTTAAATTCCATTATTGGATGCCTCAAAACATGCTACAAATTCTGTTGCCATGGTAGAAGAAGTAATAAGAGATTGCTTGGCACTATGCCAAGAAATTACCCCACCAGCCAACATATAAATGTAGCCCGAAGTGGATTTCCTACTGTCTTGGCATCCAGCAAAATTGGAGTCAGAATACCTAATGATCTCCAAATGGTATGATCTCCTATATGTGAGTATATGATCTTTTGTCCTCTTTAAATATCTTCCGACTCTTTTAATTGCCTTCCAATGATCCATTCCAAGATTGCTTAAGTATCTGCCTAACATTCTAACAATATATGCTACATCCGGATGCGTACAAACCTGTGAATACATTAGACTCCCTACAACTGATACATAGGGAATCTTCTGCATTTCTTGAGTTTTCATATTTCATTTAGGGCACTAATTGAGACTAAACTTGTCTCCCTTTGCGATAGGGGTGTCTCCTGATTTACAATCCTACATTCCAAATCTTTTGAGTACCTTATCAATATAGCTCCTTTGTGATAATCTTAGAATACCTCGAGATCTATCTCGGTGTATCTGGATTCCTAATACAAAAGAGGCATCACCAAGATATTTCATATCAAAAATTCTAAATAGAAATTTCTTGGTTTCATACAATAAGTCTATATCATTTGTGGCAAGCAGAATATCATCCACATACAATATCAAGAAAATAAATTTGCTCCCACTAAATTTATGATACATGCAATCATCAACGGCATTCACGTCAAAACCAAATGAGATAATTACTTGATGAAGTTTGTGATACCATTGATGGAATGCCTGTTTTAGCCCATAAATGGATTTTATTAATTTATAAATCATTTTCTTTGGGTCTCCTGACACAAAATATTCTGGTTGTACCATATAAATTATTTCATCAATGTTTCGAAAAATATTGTTTTAACATCCATCTGATGAAACTCCAAATCAAAATATATGACTAGAGCCATAATTGTCTTAAAAGAGTCATTCATTGAAACCGAAGAAAATATCTCTTTAAAGTCAATCCATTCCTTTTGAGTATAGTCCTTTGCCACAATACATGCCTTATACCTCTTTACATTACCTTTAGAATCCCTTTTGGTTTTAAAAATTCATTTACAACCATTGGGTTTCACACCTTCTAGTAATGGGATAAGTTTCCAAACTTTATTGTTTTGTATGGACTTATACTCTTGATTCATTTCTTTAGTCCACTTATTCGAATTGGAATCCTCTATGGCTTGACGGAAGTTGATTAGATCATCTTTCATTATACCACTACTTTATTCGTGTTCCTAGAGAAATACTATATAATCATCCGAAATGACACTCCTCCTTTCCTTAGTGGAACATCGCAAAGATGTTGGCTTTTGCGACATGGATTCTTGAGGATATTATGTTTGTTCCTCATGAATAATTTCCTCATACTGTATGAGAGTTGAAATGACTATATCTTTTTGAGATACTGAATTTGTCACATTAGTGGCAACTATATGAATTGGATCAAACTGAACCAATTCTTTCACAAAGGTAAAATCTTTTATCTTATTTCTCCCTTCAAACTCAATATCCTTAAAGAACATAGCAATACCCATCTCAAAAATATTTTTTGATTTGAGATCTTAAAATTTGTATCCCTTAGATTGCTCAGAATAACCAACAAAGTAACTACTCATTGTTTGGGGTTTCAATTTCTTTTCATTAGGCCTTGCCTCAGCTGGACAACCCCATACACGAAAGTATCTTAGACTAGGCTTTCTCCCAGTCTAAAGCTCATAAGATATTTTTGCAATTGCTTTAGTTGGTACTCTATTAAGAATGTAAGCTGTAGTTTTTATTGCTTCTCTCCAGAGCGACTTTGACAAAGTAGATTGAGAAATCATACTTCTTACCATGTCCTTAAGTATACGGTTTTATCTTTTAGCTATATCATTCAAACTAGGTGACCCAGTTATTGTATACTGAGGGATAATTCCACACTCCTCTAGGAATAAAGCAAATGGTCTTGGATGTTGTTCACTTGGGCCATCATTTCTGTCATAATATTCTCCTCCACGATCAGATCTGATGCTTTTTATCTTTTTAATGAGTTGATTTTTATTCAACTTTAAATGTTTTGAACATATCCAAAGACTGAGATTTTTTATGTATTAGATACAGGTATCCATATCAAGAGTAATCATCTATAAATAATATGAAGTATTATTGATCATTCCATGAAGGTGTAGGAAATGACCCACAAATATCTGTATGTATCAATTCTAAGATATCCATTGCTCTATATGCACCTGATCTCTTAGGTTTGGTTTGTTTACCTTTAATGTATTCAACACAAACATCTAAACCTGATAAGTCAATGGGATCAAGAACCCCTTCTAACATAAGTCTTTCAACTATATTTCTATAGATGTGACCCAAAAATTTATGCCATAATACACTATAATTTTTAATTTTATATTTAGTACCTCCCAATTCTGCATTTAGGGATTCATGATATGATGTTATAGTATCAAGTAAATATAGATTATCATAAGCCATAAGTGAACCAGTTCTAATCATTTTTGAATTTAAAGATAAAGTAAATTGATTATTTCCAAATGAACAAGAATAACCAGATTTGTCTAGATAGAAACAGAAATTAAGTTACATCTAAATGATGGTACAATAAAAGTATCTTTCAAATCCAAATAATATCCAATACACAATAACAATCTAAATATGCCTATAACTTCCACATCTACCAATTTTTCGTCCCCCACATAAATGCATCTCTCAACATTATTGGTCATTCGATAGCTCAAGCAACCCTGCATTGAGAACATTATTGGTACTGAAGTTAAATTGGCTTCAGAACAAACCAAAGGAGCGCACTCTTTTTAGCATGCCAAGTGTGATATTTGGCATAGTCCTTCTTCAAATGCCTAGATTTCTTGCAGAAGAAACAAGTATCATTCTTATTTTGTTTCTTTTGTACTGGACCCTTATGAGCCTCATTCTTTCCAGATTTGTATTTTCTTTTCTTGCCCTTGTCTTTAGAGGTGTTGGCCAAGTTGGCACTTTCAATCTTTTCTTGCTTCAGCCTTTCTTCTTCTTGGATATAATATAAAATGAGTTCATTAAGAAATCATTTGTCCTTTTGGTAGTTATAACCGATCTTAAATTGATTGAATTGTGCAGGGAGAGATATCAAAACCAAATAAACAAGTCCTCTGATAGGCTAAGCTTTAATACTTTAAGCTTTGAAGCAAGATTAGACATTTTCATGATGTACTCCCTTATATTTCCTTTCCCGTTGTATCTCATGGAGAACAAGCTTTGAAGAAAAGTGCTTGTTTCCGCTTTATCGCTTTTAAGAAAATACTTTTCTATTTCAGTAAAAAAATCTTTGGTCTGGGTAATCCTTTCGGATACCATACCCCTAAAGGCTTTTGGAATACCGCGCTTAATGATCATGAGACTCATGCAATTAGACCTATCCCATTTCTCATATAGTCTCCTATCATCGTAAGTATTATTTTCCGTAAGAGAAGCGGGTTGGTCTTCCCTTAGTGTAAGGTCTAGATCCATGCAGCCCAAAACGATCAGAATATTTTTCTTCCAATCCTTAAAGTTGGTTATGTTTAGAACCAATACAGGTTAGTAGATATTATTGCAAAGGAACCTAAACAAGAGAACAATAAACAATCAGAAATTATGCTCATATCTATTACTATAAACTTAAGTAAATTCAAATAATGATATAACCAATCTCAAGATACCAAGTGCAACATTAATATCTTATCTTTGGACTTTAATATTAATTGATAATGATAGTCTTGTTGTAATGATCAAACACTGATAATTTATCAATAAATCTATCTTTGGATTGATTTATCATTTACATATATAACTTTATAATTGTCACATGTTTACTATTATAAAATCTTGTTAGACATTAACCTTCCTTTGGGTTGGGTAATTATCGCATAGATATAAGTACATACTACATTTAATATTTTCATAAGAAATGTTAAATATGAGAGGTCAACGACTTCATACATTAAATTATTCAATCTAATATTAAAAAAAATTAAACTATATTAGTCTAATTGGTTTGATCTTAATTTATTGACTAAAATATTTATTGCATGTAAATCATTCAATTTAATATTGGAAACAGCTAGCGAAACTTGACATCCTGCCGATGAATCCACAGAATCTGGGAGAGGATTGCAAAACTGTACTGTTGAAGCATATAGCATGCGTCTCCTATGGCACGCCTAAATTTATTGAGCATAGGTTATCGAACATCCATAAGATTTTTTCTTAAGAAAATGTTCATTTTTTTCTGTGATTTCTGTGATTCTTCTAATATACCATCATTACCTTTTAGATCACCTTTACTCAACTGAGGATAAGGAAGTGAGACCAAAACCTGCGTGTCAGCCGCTATTAAAAGAAAAAAATAATACCAACTCAATAAATATTGTGTTGTTACACAATGGACACAAACTCGTACAAGGAGTACTCATTCTCTCGAACCTGTCAACAACAGTCGTAAGAGGCGACGATGCAAAAGTTTCTAATAAAAAATATTATTCTGATCAAATATAACAAGGAACAATCTGAACACACATCAAACTAGAGGTCATGCAACATCCAATTGAGCTCCATCTTCTGTATACACACAGGCTCTCGCGCACCGTACTGCTAAAGTTTTAATGCATGAAAATAACTCCCCATATATGACCGGGGAGGCTCCACAAAGATGGAAGAACAGAAAGTGAAGAATGCCGTGAAGTTGTAGCCACAATGACCAAGTAGATGTCTTTTGGATTCGCTTTTTTGCCTCGAAGAGGATGCAGCCTTCACGTTGAAGGAGAACCTAGCTGTGGATTCAGTCCTTTATGACCTGTCAAAGGAAGCATTTGAAGAAGAGAAACATCGAGAACTTTACGTAGTAATAAACCCTAAAAATATAAGCAGCTAAAAGCAACCAACAACACAAAAAGGAAGAATAATGTACTTCCGATGAACCATGTAAATTTGTCTGTAGATTCTTGACAATCGTCTCCCTGTGCCATCTCCGTATATGGATCAGTGACAACATTTTCATGCTGAGCTACTGCCTACGGACAACGCCTTCATACTATTTACATGACCACATCATTTGTTCTAAATTCTTTTGGAAAGATAAATTATTGCGTAGATGCAAATACACAAATAAGTAACGTAGAAGGAAACAAACAAGCATACAGTCTTGATAGTAGGACAACATCATCGAATCCCTGCTCCAAATAGCTTCTTCATTCACAAAAAATCCACAAGTAGAATAACCAAGCAGAGGCCTTTTATTGATCCTGCACGAAAGGAGAAAGTCAACGTACATGAAAACAAATACACATATATGTATATAAAGTCATGGGATAGATAGAAAAGAAAATGGAAAATGAACTTACTGGAACGACGAATTCATCATACATTTGCATCGTACATGCGTGGATGCTTGCTATATCGAATATACTTTTTCCTGGAATAGGTTTGAATTATGACATCTGGAATCTGTTGAATGATATGCCAATTCTCGTTGCCCTCGAGACAGCTCTTCAGCAGCACGATGTTGCATTGCAGTTCCAGTTTTCTGAAGCTCCACTGAGCGGAAGGAATGCTTTGGCGCTGCTGAATTAGTGTTGATAGCCACTGCGGAAGTTGCTTCATTTGTCGTGGACATATCAGGACCAGCTGTTGCAACCTGTCGAGATTCTCCACGTACTCCAGATTCGGACAATCTTCCACCTTCAGATACTTCATGGAAAGGTTGGATATTCTATTCAGCATCGTGTTATCTTTGACCTCGAGCTTGTAATTCACGCGGATGTTTGTGATTTCTCTCAAGTCTTGAGTACTCTCGAGATACAATTCCTTCAACTTGGTGGCATGGGATAGGCCTTCTGGAAGAGCTCTCAGTTTCGGACAGTCTATGATCTTGCATATCTTCAGATTAGGAAAGAGCTTGAGGTGCGGTCCCTGACCATTTTCTTCCATCCCCCATAGTGACCATTCTTCCCAGTTGGGCATTTCGTAAAACTCCAGATATTCGAGTTTTGGAAATGCGGAAGCTCCCGGTAACTTGCGGCCCAGAAACCCAGGCCCAATGGTTTTGATGGCTTCACCGCCGGTGACGTCAAGATGTTTTAGCAGGGGCAACATCCCTAGAGGAGGTAGTTCCGTGCATGATTTGAGGTACCAAATCCTCAAATATGCCAGATTAGGGAAGGATTTGTCTAGTGAGGTTGACATCAACCAGCCTGGGAATTGCCGACCGGGGAATCGTTGAAAGACAAGATCTTCTAGGCTGGATGGGGGAGAGAGTTCATCACATACCTTCTCAACTGCTTGGAATTGCTCATCATTCCATCTCACTCCTTGGCCCTCATTCTCATCTCCGTTATCGTCCTCATTCCCTTCCTCCTCCTCCGCCTCTCTGTCGTCGTCCTTATTTCCTTCCTCCTCCTCTGCCTCCTCCTCCTCCTCCTCCTCCTCCTCATCATCATCATCATCATCATCATCATCATCATCATCATCATCATCGTCATCATCGTCGTCATCGTCATCATCGACGTCGTCATCGTCGTCATCATCATTCTCATCCTCACCTCCATCATCCTCACCATTGCTGTCATCTCCATCACCCTCACCATCGTCTTCCTCAGCATCGTCATCTTCTTCTGAAGGCATCCAACATAAAGTCAACTCCTTAAGAAGAGTTTTATCCACAAGTACTGAGACCCCCGTTACTGCCCTCTCTAGCCGATATAATCCCAGACATCTGAGCTTCGAAAGGGCTTGCAACTCCTCCAAGTCACACCCCTCCTCGTGCAACTTGTTCGTTGGGTCGTTATGGCCAACCACAAATCCTTCTAGATGATTAAGATCCATCAGTTTTCCGATTCCCTTGGGTACATGAGTCAGAGGAACATTTTCAATATCAAGACACCGTAGACTGTGCAGCATGGTGATTGCCTTAGGAAGTCTGTGCAAATATTCGCAGTTACAAAGGTTCAGAGTTTGGAGGTTTGCAAGGCGCCCTATAGATTCTGGTATCTCATAAATATTTGTCCCATCCAAATCTATATATCTCAGTTGCAACAGTTCTCCGATACAACCTGGAAGTGTCTTGATCGACGTATAAGACAGATCCAACACTCGAAGATGTGGTAACATTCTGAGTACATTATCCTCGATTATCTTGGTTCGAGGGGAATCAATGAGAATTAAGGTTCTTAAACACTTGTCTTTCATAATTTTATCTGGCAGTACCAATTTATTCCCCATTTTAGACACTGACAACCGACGGATCTTTTCATTGGCTCTAAAATCTAATCTTTGACCATGTCTAATTAATTTTCCTTCGTCCTTCATCAAACATGCACTGAGAGATCGTAAATGGTCATGCATAGAGAAGTTTTTCTTGCCTAAGGTACCTGCGTCCACTTGTAGAAGATTCCTGCAAATTAATTCATGGTAATATTCCTCGGCTATATCTTCCAATAGCCTATTTCCTTGTTGTGCGATCAGGCCTTCAGCGACCCAAAACCGAATGATTTCCTTGTAATACATATCACTTTTCTGGGGGTGCAAAGAACAATACAGAAAACATTGTTTCAGATGAGAAGGTAAATCCACATAGCTCAAATTCAAAGCCCCCGGTACTTCATCGTCGATCTGGTTCATATTCCATGCATCACTTCCCAGGACTTCTTCCCACTTCCCTATGCTCCTATCATTACAAACAAGAACACCTGCGATAGCTTTGATGGCAAGGGGAAGACCATCACATTTTCTAACAATTTTCATGCCTACTTCTTTCAACCTACGCTCGTCATCCTCCTCCTCCGCTCCAAATACCAAATTTCGAAGCAACATCCAGCCACTATTAACATCCATTTTCTCCACCGGGTGGGTATAGCTGGGTCTCATACCTTTTAACACGGTTTCTTTCCTCGTGGTGACTAAGATCGTGCAACCTACTGCTTTACTTAGTGGTTTCCTGAGGAAATCGTTCCATAAATTTGTACTCCAGACATCATCCAACACGAGAAATAAATTTTTGGTGAGGAGAGAGGCAAGTTTGATTTCCAATTCTGATTTGCTTTGTCCCTCGAAAGATTCTTGTTTGGCTTCACCTCCTTCAGATTTGTTAGATGCGCACCGAATTAACTCTCCGAGTAACTTCGTCTCCGAATAATTCTTAGAGATATACAACCATATCTGAATGGGATAATTGACTCTGATCCTTTCATCATTTAATATTTTACGTGCCAGAGTGGACTTCCCGATTCCGCCCATTCCGACAATCCCAAAAATACGACATTTTTGTTTGGTGTCCTCTAGCATGGCATTGATTAGAGTATCGGCATCTGCTTCGATTTGTCCCCCTACGATGTCCTCCTCGACTTCCAAGGGAGTCTCAGGTACAGTTGGTTTTTCGGGTTGGGGTTGGTGACTACCAGAAGACTGTAGATGACTCAGGATGGAGGTATCCTCAGCTATTTGTTTCAGTCTACCATTGATGGCTTCGATTTCACCCGCAATCTCATGGCGGTGTTTGGTACACCGAAAGCAAGAAGAAACAAAGCTGAAAGCGAAGCTTACCCCCGAAGCCGATGCTGATCCCCGAGCCTCCAACAGTTTGCCACCTTCCATCATGCACAGATCGATGATGTCGTCGGCATCGTACATGATGGCTTTCAGCTTCCTCACCCAGGCCTCGATGCCGGGATCCCCACGGCTTTTCCGCTCTGCGCTTTCGAGGTAACATTTGATCATCTCCAGCTTCTCCTGAAGCGTCTTGATCTCCTTCTTCACTCCCAGCACTTTGCATATCTCTCCCTCAACAAAGCCCGTCACTTCTTCAATATATCTTGAAACAAATGAATCCAGGACCATTGCCATCTCTCAAACAAGGGAAATCTCTCCGCACTCTCGGAAACAGGACTCGGATGTTTTGCACGGGGAAGTGGTGGTTCCTTGAACACACACACAAACATATATAGAGCGTACAACACCATTAGCATGCATACGTTCGTTCATAATAAATAGCAACTAGCTGGCTGAGGTGTTGACTCACCAAATCCAATAATTCACCGATGAGTATTGAGGAACGCGATGTGAAA